TTTTCAACACTTGGCAAAAATTTTCCAAGTCGTGTACACTGACAGTCTGACAAGCTCGACTTTGGGATGACATAACTCAAGATTGGTTGAGAATTAGGGCTTGAGTTATAAATAGAAATTGGAGATGGTACTTGGGTCTACAATTTTTGTTTTTGAGTCATTCACTGAATCACCTTGTATCGAGAGAAAATTCAACTGGAAAGCACGCTGTCAAGCTCGGTTCGCAGCACTGAACTAACTAAATCAACCGGCTTCAGTGGCCGACCGACGCCAGAGCTTGGTTGCCGCGTGGAGCCAGTAGCGAGCCACGCGTCGCCGGCGCCCTGCCCAACGCGACCAAGACAGGCCAGAGCGCACTACAACAAGCCCCGCCCTCGCCCGCTCCATCCCCGCGCTCCCATTTTCGTTTTCGGCCTCCTCCTTCGCCTCAGCGCAGCAACCGTAGCAGCCGTCGTCACCATTGCCGTCGCAGCTGCTCCGCCGAGCTTGCCCGTGCTCACCGCCGCCCCATTCTCCAATCGGCCGTGCTCGCAGCTCCGCCTCACCCTTCTCCACCGTTTCCACCTCGCAGCGCCTGCAATCGTGCCTTAGGTAAGCCGCCATTCGTGTTGTGCCACCGCGGGTATGCCTTCGCCGGAGCACTGCCATGGCCGCTGCCGTGGCCGTCCTTCGTCAGAGCGCCTCCATCCACCTAAGTCGCCTAGACATAGTCGCATGGTCGCCGTGGTTCTGTAGAGCACTTCGCCGTGGCCAGTGACAGCCGGCACACCGCAGAGCAGCGCCGCCGTGCCGCCATGGCCGGCGACGAGCAAGCTCCGCCACACCTGCACCGCCACCACTTAGGTCACTAGACTCGCCCTGCTCTGTAGATCACGTTGGTCCACTTGCCTTCGCCGGAGTACTCACCGGCAACGAGCCGTGGCCAACCAACGTCGAAGCAGCGCCGCTGCCCTGCTTTGTTTCGCTGACTTGTTGGGCCGACTGACCAGTGGGTCCCCGTTGACAGTGACTGTAGTGCAGAAAGCTAGTGCATTTATTTCCTGTTTTATGTGCATCTTTGAAAATAGATAAGTGGAGTTGTGTAGATCCAAAAATGGTGAAATAAATTTTGTTGTGATCCTCATGACTAGATCTAGGGTTTAAAAATATTACATGTCAGTTTGGTGACACTTTTCTGTGGAGTTTTATTTAATCATTGAAATTGTTGTTTTCTTGAGAAAGGCATAATAAATCATAGAAAGATCAGAAAAATATGATTTCAAGTTTGTTACTCTTCTTGTGTAATGTACTTTCTAGGAAAAATATATGCCATGCATGTCCTGTAGAAAAATTATGAGGTGTAGTTCAAGTGCCTTTAATGGCTGATTTTTGTTATTTTTGCTAGAGAGCAAAATTTGTATAAAACATGCATGTGATAATTTTTGTACAGTGATTATTTACTATTTAGAACCTAGGAAAAATATTAAGTCTGTTGTTTGACACTTTTCATAATACGAAGTATTTTCATGCTCATATTTAGGTCCAAGCTTGTTATTTTTGTGTAGGCTATTCCACTTATCCAAATGCCATAAAAATTTGATGGTAGACTACTTAGGGTAGTACTATGCTATGGTAATTTTCTAATATTTTTCTATGCTATAAAAATAGATGTTGCTATTCAAACCTATTATTAATTAGGGTTTAATCAAATGTTGCTTTATGCATGATTAAGAAATTAGTGAAGCTTTGGTGTATCTTTGAAGCATTCAATGAGATGTGTTGACTTAGCATGTTGGTAGTAGAAGAGAATGCAGTAGATGACATGTGCTTGTAGTACATGTTCTTGTATGATGTTGACTACCTTGTATGAGATTTGCATTATACTCTCCCCATTAAAGCGAATCATGCTCATCTACCTTGCATGCAAGCATATTCATTGTGTTCATTTCATCCGATGCACCTTTTGCATAAGCACTTACGCACCGCATCATACAGGATCGTAAACTGAGAGCCCGGTCGTCGTACTCGAGGAGCCCGAGGAGCAGCTCGAGGTGCAGCCGCAAGAAGTGACCGGAGCAGACGAGGAGGACGTTGAGGAACTTCCGGAGTGTCCCGATCATCGCCCAAGCTCCTTCGAGAGAGGCAAGCCCCGAAGCATTTTTCTCCCCGGTTTGCGATTATTAATTAATGTTTTACTTTAATTGATGCATTACGTTCAAGAGTTGTTTGCAACCGTTGCTGCATTATACCTTGTTTACCTTTGGTATACTATATCATTGTTACCCTGGTATCCGCAGTCGAGTCAATACTTAGCTGGCTTAGACTGGTAGAAGTCGGGTGATTTCCTGTCACCTGCGAGCTATAGGTGGTTACCTGGATCTGCTCGGATAACTATGTAGTCATGGTATAACTAAGTGTTAATTTGAAGTTGAGACCGGACGGAGACTAACAGGGTTTTGGACTGTAGTGCTTTCCGTCTGTGTCGATTTAATGATTGACCGTTGTTGGGCCTCGGGTCATGTTGAACGCATGCCTTACATTTAGCTGGCCGAATAACGTACCTTTCGACCACGAAGCTGGGAGATTATTCGAGCTGAGTGGATCGCCCGCAGCGCACTGTACCGGAGCAGGCGTGGTAGGACACGGGGGAGCGATGATAAGACCGAAAGGCAGTCGGTCGGCCCTCGGGTACATGTGGTTTTGGCAAACTCGAGATTTTTCCTAGATAGTTGACTCGGTGACCGATACCTCACTTTAGCGGGTGAGTGAGGTTTGTGTAAGGAATAAATTACCAGCTGGTTAATAATCGATTCGAATCGCCATCGTTCACTGGATAGTGAACACTTGACTTGAGTTACTTCATCGTAGTAATGTTGATGGAACACTTGGACAGTTATAATGGATATGACATTATGGAAGTTATTAATGATCATTGGTTATTATTATTTGCTTAATCACATGCTTGCTCTAGTATAGGTGCAAATGTAGTCGACAGGTTAATAATAATTAACTTAACAATAATGTTTTTGGAAAGATTCTTGAAATGCTAAAAATGTTTTTTTTGCAAAATGAGTCAGCTACCCTACTATAAAGCCCTTCATAATCCTTGGTGTCACTTTATTTTCGGTTATGTCGGGTAAGTCTGGCTGAGTACCTTCTTGTACTCAGGGTTTTGTTCTCACCTGTTGCAGATGGGCAGATGTATTACGGCTACTGTATTAATTGTCTTTATCCTGCGATGGGTAATGTTTAGGACCATGGGCATAGTCATTCCTTACGTCTCATCTAATGCTTTTGTTGGAGATGATCATCAGTTGGCACTGTATTTGAACTCCGTGTGAGTGTGTATGGTTTTGAACAAATGGCTTCCGCTACTTCTATTTGAACTCGTGTTGTAATAACTATGTTTAAACTCCGATGTACCTGTGATGCGAACTTTTATGTAATATGTGATGGTGACCGCTAAACTTATTACGATCTTGGTTGGTATGTGAGTTGGTTTGAAATCCTTCGTGATTTCACGGACTACCGGGTTATACGGGCTTAAGTTTGCTAAATCGTCTGCTCTGGCGGGTGATTTTCTTACTTAATTTCATATAATTGGTCGGTTCTATTACAGCCAGGCGCAGGCTCGCGACGTGCCCACCACGGCCAGGCTGCGGCAGTAGCAACCGGCTAGCATGGCCAAGTGCGTGCGTGCCCGCGCGCCCAGCACACCGACGCCGCGACGTCAGGGCTGGACGGCCTGGTGACCGCGCCCAACATGAGAAGACGGCCCGAGTTCGTGTTATGCATGGCTTTTAAAGCGTTCGAGACGTCTAAACCGTTGATCCAATCTCCAAACCACTTTGGCTATACCTTAGAGGATATATTAGGCTACTAAAACAAGCAATAATACTATCCTACTCATTAACCCAATCTCTTGCAATAAATTGTTAAACATAGCAGTGTCTAACCGTTGACAGAATTAAAAATTTCTAAATTTTGAGCTGAATTTGGTTTCCATTTACGATTTCTAAGCTAGTGGAAATATTAGGTAGTAATATCGTTTTTCGACCACAAGTATTTCACTGTCATCTATAAAATTTATACTTCCAACTTTATTATATACTTCCAACTTTATTAAGGTGAGACATATATGCTCTATAGTATTTTTGTTTAATAAAAAATAGTTTTAAACGCTAAGTGATATAACATAGCTATTGAGTCAACTTTTATTTCGCATCTTATTTGATCGTTTTGAGTTACGAAAATTGATCTACACACTTTATTACATGCATTTTATTACATACATTAACACATAAACATAATGTCCATAACATGTTTTAGTAAATAATTTACGGTGCTACAAATTCAAGGAGGGGGAGGGGAGACCCTAGTTCGTATATACTGTTTCATCAAACTGAAACATTTTATAACAGGCAAAAAAAAATAAGGTAGTCGGTACAACACTTGCAAATGACAAGTGCCGATTTTACACTCGACGAGCAACTGATGAAAGAAAAATGGACAGATACTGCCACAGCAATTTTCAGGACACCAGATCATCCAGAGATTGATGAAACAACAACTGAATCGTAGGAGGCATCAAACGCCATCCATGTTCCAAGCAAAGAGCCATTCGTTACAGTCTTGCACCATTCTGCACTTACAATGCTCCATACAAATTCTCGCTGCCAAAGCATCAAACTTAACCCTGGTTGAAAGAGTTTCCTAGACTAAACTCACTGATGCATGAAAGAGTAGCAGGTCGGATGTTAAACCGTCGCAAGAACAAGTTTCCACAACAGGGCCAGGGTTGGCCTGTTTGCCCATCATAAACCATTTCCTTCGGACCCTGGCAACAGGTGAGAAACTTAGCCGCCTCAGATACTACTAATCTTTTGTTATGCACAATAACTCTCATCTAGCCTGTATAAATACACAAGAACAATGGCTTGTACAGTTCCGCAATTTGTGCAGAGAAAACAAACTGCCGCATCTCAGATCAGTCACTGCCTCAGGTCACTGGAAGTAATTCATCATTGAGCCTGGGGATCTAGACCCACAGCACCAAACCTTGCATCGGCACCCATCCCAGCATTGGGTGGCTGTGCTACCACAACATTATCATCAGCAAATAGCGCCTTGATGAAGGACGGTGTCTTCAGGGGGCGACGGCCAGTCATCCGTGGGTATACATCTTCCAGAAAGTAGTACACATGTCCAGCAATCATACCCTGAAAAGAAATGTTATATCAGTTAGAGATATATTACTCCTTCCTCCCAAGAACAGAGAATGATCAAGGTGACAATCAGAATGCTATACAAGCAAACTACACGAGGCTTCTTTGTCAATTCAATCACGCATATGGAGTCCAGTGAAGTTCATGATTCAGGACACCATAACAATTTCAATCAAGATGGCAGTAGCCCATAAAGAGTGGAAGAGGTAATCTAGTATTCTAATGAGAGTAACAGTTGTACCTCCACTATGCTAACATCAATACAAGTTCCAGGGGCAAACTGATTTATCATTCTGATCCCAACCGTGAAGGCAAGTGTACTAACCTTAGTGGACGTACCTTTTTTTAACATGCTGAACAAGCTTCGAAATCACCTATAGACAACTTGTGTTGTGCAGAAAAATGCAGAACTAGATGGACTACATACATTCATCAACAATTCAAAAGCTTACAAACTAATCTACCACACATTGGCACATAGGAATGCCAAACCAAGGTCACATATGCAAGCGAATAGCCAACAGTTACATTCATGTGGCCCGGTTGTGGCTGACAGAAAATAGTGGAAATAAGCACTATTCCTATAAGCACACACCAAGGAAAAACAACTCCTTAGAAAAGGATTTTTCCAACAAATTCATTAATCCAAACTGTAATGATTACTATAGATTCATCTGAACTAGAAGAAACATACCAAGAGATCCACCCATGTGCTGCTCCCAACGAGGATAGAGAAGCCCAAAAGGACCTGCAATTCAAGATAAAACAATCAAGATAATGGCCATGTTCTGCTTGGTTCGAGCTCAATTTCACCAAACTGATCATTCACTCCCAAATAATCTAATTGAAGAAAATCACAAAGCCTTCTTTAAGAACAAAAATTAATAGTGATCGCCTGTTTCACAATTCCTCCCAACCTGAAACTTACTGTTCATTTAGGCAAATATAAACATTTCTGATATGTATATTGTGAACATCTATTCCTCATCAATGGTCCAATCATATGAATTAAGAGGTTACAGTATTCATTTATCTCGCACCTCAGGTCAGGCACCACTTGAACAAAATGACAACAGAGCAAAGGAAATAATAGCTTCTTCCTACAAATTTCTATACAATTTCAGTACGTTAAAAATAGGCCAATCCTTCTTGTGCCAGAACCTTAGTTACTGAATTGTGAAGTTAGTAAATCATAACAAAAGAAGCAAAGCAGTCAAGTTAATAAAAAACATTTGTACGCCACAGGTTCTCAGAAAAGTCCAGCATATAATTAGATCATTGGACAAAGAAAAATAGTCAAGCCTAAAAACAACAAATGTGATTTATGTCATGTGACCCTCCCAAATACAGAAGGATGGTTTTTAAAAACCATGCCACTAAGTACTACATTTCCCTTGCATACATATAAGGATGTGCAACCAACAGAATTGCACATTTCAGATGTCATGGAACATTCAGACATAACCGCATAAGAAAGATGATTGGTGTGATACACGGTCACCATAAAAATAACTTAACGTGAATCTGGCTGATGTGGCATTCAAGAAACAGGGCAAAAGAACACTTACCCATGGTAAGTAAGCAGCCGTAAAGGTGAACAGGCCCAGAAAACTCATATGGATGAAAGGGTTGTGCTTGCTCCAGACATAAACCTGCCATGCCATATCAGAAGTCTACCAATGTAAGACTTTCTCAAACCTACTATTAAATTCAGACATTTTTATTTACAATAATAAGCGCTGGTAATCCCATACCATCATAAACGTCAATGAATTGCTCAAGAACAAAATTCTGGCAAATGTCTCGGAAATGTAAGGTATCATCCCTCCGATCAGAACAATGCCAGTTAGGACAGTAGCACCAAACAAGAGCATGTAGAAAAAGTCGGCAGTTCTTCCTCTAAATGAGTTCTCCTCCAGAAGCTTGCAGTATCGTGCAAGAAAAAACATGTGGAACAGAAAATCCAAATCTGGAAAAAGAAAGAGAGTAAGTTTTTATTATAAGGGTGCAGCACTTGAGATGCAAATAAACAGTAAGCAGTCTAAGTCTAACAGTAGTTATAAGTCTGGAATGGTGCAAGTGTAAACATGCAATAAACCAAGAATATAAGCATTTCCATGCTGTTAAATGCATACAAACTAGCATTGTGTCCAGAGTCACTGGTTCTAGATGTTCGAATATTCAGATGCAAACCAGTGGCTTTGTCCAGTCTCTGGATTCATTTGATGACCTCTTGGGGCAATTGAATTAGTTAGATAACCAATGTTAACTCATAAATAAGAATCTGTAAACTGTGCACACCCAATTCAGTCATAAGGAATGACTCCTAAAGCAGCCCATGTGGATTGTGGCACAACTAAGATTAACGACACTGAATCAGGTTAACATAAAAAGGCTCGATGGTGCAGGGGATGATACTTCTCCAATTTACTCTATAGGAGTAGAGCTTAGAAGTTGAGTTTATAAATACTCCCTCCATCCCAAATTATAAGTCATTCCAACTTTCTTGGAGTGTCAAAGCATCTCAAGTTTGACCAAAATTATAGAGAGAATTACAAAGATTTATGACATCAAATAGATACAACAACAACAATATAGCCTTTCAGTCCCAAGCAAGTTGGGGTAGGCTAGAGTTGAAACCCACCAAGAGCCCCAAGTCACGGTTCAGGTACTTCAATAGCTGCTTTCCAAGCACTCCTATTCAAACATAGATCTCTAGGTATATCCCAAGCTTTCAAATCTCTTTTTATTGCCTCCCCCATGTCAATTAGATAATACCATGAAAATATAATTAATGAAGAATCCAATTATACTTATGTAGCATCTTAAATGTTATTATTTTATTATATAAATTTGGTCAAACTTGACATCCTTTGAGTTTCCAAGAACGTTGGAACGGAGAGAGTATAATAATTATTTTGCTGATGAGTTTGACGTAGAATTACAGAAGAAGACCAGCAAAACACATGGATAAGTTTTGCATTCAAAATTGGTGTTATGCACAGCAGCTCCCAAAAACATAAATAGATGGCACAATGTACTGGGTGCAGACCTTCCTTGCTGGACACCGGGTGTGCACAAAGCTTCCATTCTAACATATCAACATGATGCATATTTTCATCAATTAACAAACAATGCCCTTGAAACCAATGTACTAAAAAAGGGCCTAACACATCTCAAAGAAAAAAAGAGAGAGAGGATCTACTAGGTCATATACAACAAACCAGCTGACGAGCTAGTAACCATACATCATCGCCAACCCACGCAAATAGGCTGGCAAAGCCACATCTAGCCACTACTACGTGGCTAGCTAACGAATATCAGTTACTGGTTTTCATAGCCAAGCACAGAATACATTAAATTAGCACTCCTTGCGTATGCTATATATATAGGGTGGCAAATGGAGTGGCATTTACACAGAAAATCCCAAAACCTCCTATCACAGTGGAAAACCAGTATCCTCTACAACAACCACCCCTATCCACACCACACAACATATAGTTGGCACATCACAACGGGTCGCACTTGGAGCCTTGGAGGCTAGGATAGAGGGCACGGAGCGCATACCCATCTTGCGGAAGTAGAGGAAGTTGGTGACGAGGCGCCAGATCTCGTAGTGCTGCACGACGAGCTTCGGGTTGAGGTACAGGTGATACGGCGAAATGATCTGCACAGCCGGGGCCAGCCAACGAAAAAGAGGAGATTAGATATCCTAGCAACGGGGGGCGAGAGAGAAGCATCTCGTAATCATGGGAGAGAGAGGGAGAGCCGGTACGTCGAGGGTGCAGCCGACGGTGGTGACGACGGCGGCGGTGAGGTAGGAGCGCGTGATGATGGGCATCTGCCGGTACCACTCCTCCACCGCCTGCGCCATCTCCCCACGAGAGCGAATCCCCTTTCCTCTCTCTCGCTCGCTCACTGGTAAACCCTAATCGGCCCAAATCGGTGATCAAATCGAGGAGCGGTCGGAGCACACGAGGTGGGTGTGGGTAGAATCGTGGAGATCAAATGGGGGTGGGGGGTGGGGAGCGGGGAACGGAGAAGGATAGAAGGCGGCGTGGTCTAATCCTTTCGCAATGGCCGCGCGCGTGTCACTGACCTGTGGGCGCCCAGGGGAGGAACCTGTGGGCCTGGCAGATGCGTCGGTCGCTATGACGTCTGTATCACCAATGGAAGGATGGACACGTCGGATCGGGGGGGTGTGGATGGCCGGGTGGTTTAACCGTTTATGATAGTAGTTTGGCATGAGAAGACTTGTCAAGCTGAGTGATTGTCAATAGACATAAATTTTGCCTTTTGGGTAAGGACGAGCCTTAGTTTATATGTAAATAGAGTCAAAATTGACTAATTCCTCTGGTCCAATTTACAAGACGTAGTCAAATATGACATGATCTTCTAAATTACATTTTAACCATTTATTTATATTATACTATTTATGGCTATAAACTTATGATTATTAGATAGTACATTTGGTTATAAATTCAATAGCATCAAAGTTTGTATTATAATAGTTAAAATTATTAGTCAAAGATTATAAAAGTTTGACTCTTGACTTATGTGAAATATCTTATAAACTAGACCGAAGGGGGTAGGATAGAGGAATAATAATAAGACAAAAGGAGTGTGCGATCAAAAATTAGCAATTGCCTTTTGTTAAATCAATTTATATGCTTGAGATATATATCTTACTAAACAAGATGTACATAGAGCAACACATTAATAAAGTATTTTAGTTGGAACATATGAATACAAACGAACTTCATATTTTCTTTTTTTTTCTAGCCGCCTATCTTAATATTTTCCATCCTTCTTGAGAAGCGGTCATTCCATTCTTGCAATTGAGCTACTATGGTCAATTGGGTGTGGATCAGTTAATTAGGTTCTTAAACTGGAATATGTGCACTTGAGTTTGAGTATCCGGCTTGGCACGAGGACTCACAATTTCAACTATTTATTTTTTATTGGTAGATGACACTCCTAGTGAGGCTAAAAGAACAAGATGTGCGTGCATGTGTTTATGGGAATAAATGTGCGTATACATTCGAATGTATACGTGTGTGATGTGATTTTAAAGAAACAGAGTTTCTCTTGAACCCTATGCTGATTAAAGATTTATAATGCACGCTTGTTTCAATAGGCAATAGAAGCGCAGGCGAATAATTAAGGATTCAATTTGGATTGCATCTAAAAAATTCCTAAACTAATATATTTTCTCCTATGTACGGCTTAGTTGACTGGGGCAGTGAAATGAAGTTGAGCATATGTCCTTTGCTGGTTCAATGGTGTTCCTATGAGGCTATAACACTATTGGGTGAAAATATGAATCGTTATATAATAAGTTGTGTCGATTGATAACAAAGGAAAACACATCTCTACTGGTCAATAGAAAAGGAAAGAACCCCTTGGAAGAAGCATGTCTGAGTGGCAGCAGATTAGAGATGGATTAAGGCTAATGTCAATTAGAGAGGTAGCACTAAGGTGTCTAACTCTAATGGACAAGTCCAATTAGACGGTCCACCGTGTAGCAGTGATGCCTAGGAAAATAATGGACCCTACATTGAGCAAATAAGCATCGGTCCATCGGAGCTATAGTGTACAAAAACAAGGCACCAAAGCCATCTGCAACAAAGTAGAGTGAGTTTTCTCTCCATCCGATGGTTTGTGTGAGAAAAGAATCACTTGCTACAGTCGTCACTAATATGTTATCTATGGGGCATCGACGCAAATAGATGATACGATCCTGTTTTTCAAGAGTCATTTGTAATAGGTATCACTTCATACAGTGTGAGAGTGATGTCTAAACATTCTCTCTCTCCATTTCAGGCATCACTTGAGCCATACACTACGGAAGACCTTATCATCGTGGAGATGTGTCCGTAGGGCCCACAGTTGGAGAGGGTTGAAGCATTGGGTTGTTGTGAGGGACTCAGCTTAGCGACAGAACGGTACCAATAATGTTGTGTTCTTGAATCAAGCTACGTAGTGGTGCATCTTCTGGTCCACAAGAAGGGACAACTATCCTAACTTCGGTTGAGCGTGGAAGAGGTGATTGAAGTAGTTGATGCTTTACATAAGTGAAAGGAAATTCATACAAAGATAGATTAAAATTATGCAACCACATGAGTTTGCGCAATTGGCTATGCGTATTGAGACATACGATGGTTTAGCGCTTTAGGTCAACAACTTGTATTGAGCTAATATAGCCTCTCCTCAAAAAAAGAAGAGTCTTAGTCCTACACCGAGTGTTTTGGGACAAAAAAAAACACTCAGACTCGTCTCTCTACGCATCTTCCTCCTCCGGACGCGCCGCCGCCACCCACCACCCACTGCCCCATCATGACGCGGTAGGGTCTCGCCAGAGCTCCACTGTCACGGAATTCCAGCGAGACCCTACCGCGCCCGTGGCGACCTCCTCCTTTCTCTCACCCCGCCGCCGCCATGGCCATGGCCGCCTCCTCTAGTCCTCTGCCGCTCGCTCTGGCGGCGTCACACGCCTTCGCCTTGCCGCCTCTTCCGCCCTCACCACCCCATCCCAACTGCCTCCCAAAAATCTCTTCTAAGTCGGTCGAAGATGAAAAGGAGGGAGAGAGCCCATGCTAGCCGGAGAAGAGGAATCAAGTATTCAACACTAGGTGTAGAATTAACATTTTGACATTCCTCCCTTGGCCCTGTCTCGGTGGCTCCATTGTTTGTGGAGCTGAAAAGTCTGCAAGCGCCCGCGCGGCCCCGAGAAAATTTTGAACTCTGCAAGGAACCACCACGCACCACCGCTTTTTGAGCTCGCGGCGAGGGTTTCGGCGGCGGCGGCGGTGGGCGCGACATGGCTGGGATGAAGCCCACCCCAGTCAAGCCCGCCGCTCCCTCCACCCAGCGCAACGGCAGCGCGGCCCCCGGCTCCAAGAGCCGGCCTAAGCAGGCTTCGGAGGAGGCCGCGGCCGCCAGCTCCAAGGCGCAGTCGGCCTCCAAACCGCGCAAAACCACCAAGGAGAAGCCGGCGGCCACGAAGAAGAAGCGAGACAAGCCAGAGCCCCAAGTGGGCGGCAAGCGTAAGAAGCAGCAGGCGTCCGCCGACGCGGCCACGCCCGCGAAGAAGAGGAAGAAGGGCTGCGAAGGCCCGGAACCCAAACCCCAGAAGGAAGCCACGCCCGCGAAGAAGCACAAGCCATCCGGCAAGCCGGAGAAGCCCGCGACGCCTGGGAAGAAGCAGAAGCCAGCCGGGAAGCCCGCGACGCCCGCAAAGAAGCAGAAGCCAGCCGGGAGGTCCCCAACGCCCGCGAAGAAGCAGAAGCCAGCAGGCAAACCCGCCACTCCCGCGAAGAAGCAGCAGTCAACCGGCAAGCCCGCGACGCCCGCGAAGAAGCAGCAGTCACCCAGCAAGGCTGCGACGCCCGCGAAGAAGCAGCAGTCCCCCGGCAAGCCAGCGACGCCCGCGAAGAAGCAGCAATCACCCGGCAAAGCGGAGAAGCCCACGCCGAAGAAGCAGCATCAGTCAGCCGGCAAAGCGGAGAAGCCCACGCCGAAGAAGAAGCTGCAGTCACCCGGCAAAGCGGACAAGCCCACGCCGAAGAAGAAGCAGCAGTCACCCGGCAAAGCGCGGAAGCCCGCGGCGGCGGCGACCTCGCCCACGAAGAAGCAAGTCAAGCGCGAGAAGCCCACGCCCACCAAGAGGAAGCGCGGCGACGATGAGCCCCAAAAGGAAGCCAAGAGCCCCAAGAGAGCGCCTGCCGATGGGGAGGCGCGCGCATCTACGCCCGTGAAGGAGAAGCGGAAGGACCAGAAGGCGGCTGCGGCAGACATGGGTGTGTGCAGCTTCCCCATGGCGCGGGTGCGGCAGCTGATGCGGGTCGAGGACGCCACCATCCGCGCTTCCAGTGAGGCTGTCTTCCTCATCAATAAGGCTTCCGTATGATTCCTTCCCCCGCATGCAATGGTTTATGCTAGCAATTAGACATCGGAGGATTAAAGCATTGCATCATTCTATCCGATTGTGATGATTTAGGATTGAATCTATCGAGTTACGTAGATTTACTTTGGTGATGCCATCAGTGCCGACTAGGTGTGCGACGAATTGCCTTAAGATATTGTCAGCTGTAACCTGTAACCACATGAGCATGTGCTACCCCCAATTCACCCTGCGGGATCTGTCCCTGTACACCGTGAATGGGTACACCGAAAGAAGTTGCCCTCAAACTTACTAATCCCTCAAGCTTACTGTGAAATTGGTTTGAATTTGTATTTCGTTGTCAGTTTAACTACATATGAATTGTGGGCGTCACTATCTGATCTGGTGAAGTAAACATTTTCTACTTTCTAGCAAAGCATCATATCATTCTATCTGGTGCCAATAGCTTAGGATTGATTTCCTGAGATTTACTGCATTGATGCAATCAACATCAGAAAGGTGTTAGATCAATTAACTTAGATATTGACATACGGAGTATTGTTAGTTGCAATCTCAGGAACATGTGCTCTCCTAATCACACCCTGCTCGATTTATGTTTCTGTACTGCGTTGACCAATACTGTACATAAAGCTAGTGTCTTTACTGTCTTGCAGGGAGCCAGGGACTTATCTGAAATATTGGTGTTGTACTGTTGTTTATTGTATTCTTGTGCATTGAGACATTAGATTTATGTTACTGAGTTGCTGGATTTCGTTAATAGGATTATATTGGCCTAATAACATAGTAATTCTTACATATATCCAGAGAGGATGTTTGTGGCCTAGTGTGGGGTTTCCAGATTTGTTGTCTGCCACTTTTGACTTTTGTTCATCTGTTAGAAGCATTAATTATATTACTAGTATCTACTTGTCTTCATGGTAATAAACCATCTGTAGCTAACTGGATTGTCCACATAACACGCCGCATCTAGGTTTGATTCTGTTGCCGTTTTAGACCACAAGTTATTTCAAAACTCATAGACTGGGCAGAAAACTCGAGTGAAGCTTAGTATTTGGAGAATTTTTCTGAGTTCTGTTGATGATTTGCATTTACAAGGGGCAGCTAGACATGAATTATGAATTATAGGCTTGACTAACTGATTGAGGCAAGTAAACATGTTCTACTCACTTAGCAAGCTAACACAGCCGATGCCTTGCCACTGCCAGCAAAATCATTGACATAAAAATTTAAGTGCTTTGTGTTAATGTCTTCAGGGGATGGAGGGATAGATGGCACCAAGAGAAAAGATTGTTGGAGAGTAGCTTCTTTCCGTCCCTGTTCTTTGTTAATACTCATTTTTCTGGGGGATGGGTTGGGGGAACGATGGTTGTACTACTATTACAATTTGCACCTTTCATCCCTGTAAAATTTATTCGTTTGGAATACATGCTGACATTTGGTGTTTGCAATGATTTCTGAAATCTGATATTGTAGCTGCACCTCTAATTGCAGGAGTTCTTTTTGGGGAAGTTTGCAGAGGACGCTTATTGCAATGCCGTGAAGGATCGTAAGAAGTCCATTATTTACGATAATCTCTGTAAGTTGGTTCTTGCTTCCTATCAACTTAATGTTTACATTTTATCTAAAAAGAACCAACTTAATATTCTTCATCGTCTGCGCTTAAAAAAGCAATCAAAAATCGCAAGCTGTGGCTGCATTTAAGTACAGAGGAAGAAATATGCAGAACAATCAAAAGTGCACATAAAACATCAGATTGTTCAAACACAAATTATCTACTAAGACCTGAGTGCAGTGATCTTCAAAGTTTGCACGAACTACTGACTTTGTGTAATATGCCTCTGAACTTATTGTCCAAACGTTCAAGGCTTCTGTACCTTGTGTTGTGTGGTTGTAAAAAGACCATTCTCAGATAAAACCGTGCTATTTGAGTTAGATGAATCTCTCTTTTTTCAGCCAAGCATCGTACTGCAGTAAATGCAAACAATCAATATAGAACTATAATAGACAACTGCTGTGTGAAAGAGGTAGACGGCTGGTCCCTGAAATCTTATTTTATTGTTTGTTCTTGTGGGCCTTAGTGCGTAGCTATGATTTTGTTAAAGCTCACTCTCAGGGTAAAATAAGACCCCTAAACATGATCATGTATATCTAGGATTGTGATGCATGAATTTATTCACATCTTTCATCCAATTCGTAGTTGTACTCCCATTGCACTCATCTCAGAATCACCATCAAAATCAAACCTGTTTCCTAGCAGTTTAAGTAGTACTCCTTCCATTCCAAATTGTAAGATGTTTTGACTTACAATTTAGAACTGAGGGAGTACTAAATAGTTCTTGTAGCCTGGCTTCCATCTATCACTTTTTATTGTTGGTACATGTCTCATGTAACTTGTGCTCTCATTTTTCAGCAACAGCTGTTTGCAGTCAGAAGGGTTTAAAGTTCCTTTCAGGTAAATTCTTTATCCACATTTGTTGCTATGCTATGAAGCATGAGGAACTGATCAGTTCGTTCATGCAATTTTTTTCAGATTTTGTACCGCAGAGAGTTGCAGCCGAAGATGCTTTAAAGGCAATGGCGGGCAACAACTCATAACCGATTATGCTAGACTAGATTGTTAGTCCTCTGTCGAGGCATGCTAGTGTTTTCTCCAACATATACAAGGAAACCTGTAGTACTGACTGATTACTGAATTCTATCATAGATCGGCATACAAGTAGATCAGATGATGCACCGTAGCTTGTGCTTTCTGTTCGATTTATCATTTATCACCCAAGACCTGTATTAGTCCATAGTTAAGAGTGGATTCAAATGTTTCGTGAAAGTATTTTTTAGAGCTCATTAAAGTATATTTAGAAGCTTAAAAAAAATAAATTTTAGTTTAAAAAAATGGGAAAATATATAGGAAAAATTTACAAAACATTCTAATCAATGCATAAACATGTTTTAAAAAGCTTCTTGAACCTCGTCCGCTTCTCCCTCGTAGCCTCAACCAAGATTAGAAAGTGGGTAGTTACTCTCGCACAGCCGTCGTACTGCTCCTATTAACCGATGTCGGTTATGGGCTAGCGCATGGATCTCAACGCTTCCAAACCCAGTCCAAACTCTTAGGCGATGTTTGGATGGTGCCCTGGAGTCCATCTGCCTAGGTGAATGGCTGTCTGTGTCTTGCCTGGGATTCATTTGGATGCAGACCTGGCCACCTGCCTGATCCAGGCATCGGAGGGCAGTCCCAGGCCTTAAAAAACGAGCGCCCGGCACCAGCAAACCTGCCTGGCTGTGTAAAGCATCAAAGTTAATTCAAGTTAATTAGCTACTGTGCATATTTTGTACTAATAATTAACTTCTGTCCTATTTTTTAGTGCCCACAAATAACGTGCAAGTTGCTGCTAAAAAATTATAACCATATTACTGTTCACCAACGCGTGGAAAAGATTTTTTTATTGTTCATCAAATTAAAGTTTATTTTGCAATCTAGATTATGATTATTTATATATCTTATTTCTTATTTAAAATTTTTATTTATCCTTATATTATTTAATCATAAGTGTTAAAGTTACATTATCCTCATATTATTTAATCATCATATAGCTTCTCAGGTCCATGGCATCAACCAAACACATCTTCTTTATACTTGCCTGGCCAAGCAAAAAATATCAACTTTCCAAGCAACTTCCAGGCATCAGGTTTTGCCACGCAAGATGCCCAGGCCTCCAACCAAACATGCCCTTATTATGTGGGTCTTTCTTCTCTGGGTTTGGATAGAAGGCAGAGGTGTTGTAGCTCCGGTCGAGGGTGGTGGAGGTGGAGGTGGAGGCGCTCGTGTACTTCTCTACCTTTAGCAGCGCGTCGGAGTGGACTAGGAAATGTGGAGCTAACACACCTAGCGTAGAGAGCGGTACCGCACTGAATGCACAAGCTTCTCCTTCTCCCAATCAGTCTAACAAGGGAATTGTAGTTTTTTTTTCTGCATAGCTGTTGTTTGCTATTAAACAATTACGTTATTGAAAATAACAGAATCCTTGGTGTAGAAGCTATTGTGGTTAATCTTATGGGCGTCACTGTGTATACTCTTTGCACCCTAATCAAGATGGTAAATGCTAAACTATTTTTTTTCTATAACCAACACATTTTTTTTTTTATTTGTCTTTTTCTTACTTTATTCAAATAAACCCTGAGGATGTATTGGAGCAGTTGTAGCTATATGTGGTTTGACTTTCATCGTTATCAACTTATTCCTGTTTGGGCTCATTAAGAGAAATGGTTTAAGTGTTATACGCTATTTAACAATCGATAAGATATGCCACATGTGTCGGGTCACATCATATATACATAATTTGAGCTAGCAGACAATGCTCTACATAAGAGAACTCACTTATTAACCTTTACTTGGTGACTATTCTACGACGACACTCACTCTTGATGGTGTATATGTATATACAGTTCATTTAGATGGATTGTATCTACCTTAGCCTTTTTTGGTGTAGGCCTCTCCTATATATAATATTACACATCTATTGGATTGGTGCCAAATGACTACCATCCAAAGCGTCACATACAAAACATCTATATGGTAGAACATCTCTTACCACTACAACAAAATGGTTATGCATGCAGCCGTATCACCGCCATTTATTATATAACCGACGTTGAAATTGTTTCACCGCCAGTTTAAGGACTAGTAGCACGAAGTGGCCAACTAAACCGGCGGTGATAAGTGTTTTCACTACCGGTTGAGCGCACTAATCTGTAGTTTTCATCGGTGTGTGTTTCGCAGCCAGATCATATGCCTATCCGGCGGCAATAGTAGTTATCACCATGGGCCCGAAAGAGCCAATTGAACTGAATCGGCAATGAAAGTAGCATCATTATACTATCGTGATTGTTTGGAGTTTATACCTAGTTCAACATCATTAATGCACCAACACTCTACATATTGACATCATCTACCCTGTAAAACCACCACTTTTCTTTCTTCAACCTATTCTTCGACTTAAACCATGATAGGAAAGGATCACAACACTGGAAGATTGATGGTGACAAAGGATCACTTGGGAGTCCGTGGACGATGGACAATGAGTAGTGGTACGGAGACGACAACAACGACATGGTAGAGAAGGTGGCTGATGAGGAAGAGGATATGAGGTCGAGGAGGAGGCCACCGATGAGGCTCTAACAAAGAGGCAAAAGAAGGATCCTAGCTCCAACAGCGAGGATCTAGATTAGATCCTTTAATTTAGTTCCAATCTATGTAATGATCGTAAAGATTATAAAGAAATATGTGTGTATTAGTTTCATATAAAGTGACTTATAATCAATTAGAATCGTTTGCCTCTCTAGATTAAACGTGTGTAGTCTACTATTTTTAGTCGCTGGCAACCACCTTATCACCGTGAAGTCACCAACAAAATTCTCCACTATATCGCTATCCGTTTGTGCTTCCTCCCAAGCAATCTCTTCAACCGAACAAATAGAAAAATAAGAACTATTGCAACTTTCCCTTATCTAGGTGATGCTAGAAATTATACTAAAAATTCAAGTTAAGACGTTTGTTATGTTGGATATAGTGTTATTAGGTCGACTAATCGTGATTACTCGTCCTAGTCGATAACTTGGACTTGACTATGGGCTATGACTCGATTAGATCACGATTGGTCAAACAACCGGGGGATATATGACTAAAAATAGAATATAGTCGTTGAACAGTTTAGGACATTGATTGCATTTTTTTAGTGGAGGGCATGGATTGCATCTGGGATGACTTAGTGAAAGGTCCCTAGTTTGGTTTTGGTAATTGAGTGACAACCTAGGTGGACTAATGTGTTTAATTGTGAGATACACAGGTGATTAGTCCACATGTACACTTGTGTGAGCAACTCATGCCATGACGGTGAAGATGCCTTGGAATTGTTGCAAGGCTCACACATGTGATGAAGGAGCTCATTGCATATGAGACATGACATGGAGTCATGTGACTAAGGCGGAGAAGATCAAGATAAGACTTGGCTTGATGGACCGGTTGCAAGCGTGAAGGGCAAGTTGGAGGCTTTGGAGCGATGGACCGCATGTCGGTAAAGCTTGAGCAAGACTTGGCGTCGATGGACAAAGACAACGGTGAAGAGCAAGTGAAGTTAAAATCGATGAACCAATAAGGTTACGTGATGATATGAAGTGGATCACATCATTTGTTGATCAAGGTTGGTGCTGTGCTGCATCAACATTGGAGGAGATGGAATAGAATACGCAAGACAAAGGTATATTTGTCAGGCATTTTATTTCACTGGTCATAGGTGTGTAGAGAAGTTTATGACCGGGTTTAGGATAGATGGCCACACTATCAAGAGGGGTAAACTTGTTTGAATATCGGTCATCTAGTGCCACTTGGGCGATCTAACTTTGCATACGTGTTAGGATCGAGTGGCGTGATGAATTGAGTGGCTAATCCTTTGAAAAATGTTTATGAAAATACTAACACAAATGCACATTGAAGTGGACCGTGATGCCTAAGAGGGTGGGGGGTGAATTAGGCAACTTAAAATTCTAACTCTAAACTATGGCCTCTTTTTCTAACATTGGCAAAACCTATACAAAAGATAAACTATCTAAATGTGCAACTACGGTTTTGCTAGTGTGTTGCTATCTCTACCGCAAAAAGGAGTAATACAATAAATGTACATGCGGAAGGTAAAGAGCAAGGTAGAGATATGCAAACTCCCGTCGACGACTCCGGTATTTTTACCGAGGTATCGAGAAGCGCGCAAGCTTCCCCCTAGTCCTCGTTGGAGCCCCTCGCAAGGAATCCCTCGCAAGGGCCAAGCTCCCGGTTGGGTAACTCCGTGGATAGCCTCAGGCCTTCCCCACACGCAAGTGGGTCTCCGACGTGCCTTCCGGCAAGCCTCTCCTGGATGCTCCCCGCCGTCTTCACTATCAAGCTTCCGGCCGAAACGCCGCGGGCCTTGTTCCCTCCGGTACACGGTGGCGGCCACACCACAAACACGATTGGTGTGATCTCGCAAGACTTCAAGACCCTCCGATGTACAACGATGGTGCTCGCAAGCACCAAGTGGTAAGAGGTATGCAAACCTCACTAAACACTAGGCCTAAACCTAGAGCAAGCGCATAAGCGGTGGTCTAATCAATCTAAGCACTTCGCAAAGCACCTACGCTAATCACCTGATGAATCACTAAGCACTATGCAAGTGAAGATCACAAAAATGGTGTATCAACACCCTTGGTATGTTTCCTCAGCTTCACACTTCTCAAATGGTCAGTTGGGGGTTGTATTTATAAGCTCCACTGAGAAAGTAGCCGTTGGGGTCAAATTCCCACGAAACTGCTACTGACCGGACGCTGAATCGTCCTAACCGGACGCGTCCGGTCGTCCCGACCATTGAGCCGGCAATATACTGATCGGACGTTGTCCAGCGTCCGGTCGCCTGCCACCGGACGCGTCCAGTCACAGATTTGCCGCTCTGGAACCTTACTGTACTCGATCGGACGCTGTTGTCCTACGTTCGGTCGGTTGCCGCCAGCGTCCGGTCCAGTGTCCGGTCGCCTGTCTGCCGAGTCCTCTGCCCAGCGTCCGATCGCTTGTC